AACCATTAAACACATAAGCAGATTTCATATGTCATTACCCTAAAAAGAACAAAAGTGAAGATTATTCCTTCTTGGGGTTTTGTAGAATTTTCTAGCTCTTTTTTCCTATTCAAGGGTCCTTTCAATATACATCAGTTCCTAGACAATTGCCCAGGCACGTACCATCCATTGGATGTTGGGGTACTTGGCCCTACCCATAAAGCACTTCATCAAACACTGTGGTTTGTAATAAAACAGGCCTTCATCCCATAGCATTCCCACTGACTATGGAGACAAAATTTAGATACCAGGGAAAGAAAAACATGGTGTTTTTAAGAGTTTTAAAAGATTTTTTAAAATGTTAAAATTTGTCAACCAAGACAAAGAAAAAAGTTGCTATAATTCTAGCATCAAAACATTTTCATGACTTAAACCAACCAAACTTTATGTGGAGATTACAAAGTTTTTCTCTCTGTCTTCTTCCTGCATCTTTCTACCAAAGGACAGCTTAATGAAGATCACTCTTAGTGTGCAACTTTGTGACCGTCTGAATTCCGAGCATTCCCAGAGCTTTTGTCTGGAACAAGGGACTCCACCCTGGGAAGATAGACAGAAAAGGTTTGGGAGATTCCTTGGGAACAAAGTCCCCTGGGTAGTGGACTGAGCTCTGATGTGGTGCAGAGAGCCAGGAGGTCTGGGTTCTACTCCTGGCTCTGTGCATCCTAGCAAGGCATCTGGTCTTTCTGGGCTTCACTTTGGTAAAAGGATTTGTGAAGTGGGCCTGCAAGACTGCCTCATTGCAAAATGAACGCGTAAAGCCTGGGTCTGATTCAGTAAGCAGCTCAGTAGCAATGAGTTTCTCTTCAGTTGGCCAAGAGTAAACCTGAGCAGAACAGAGCAGAGGTCAGCTTCCATACTGTTTATCACAGGGTAAAAGGGGAGCCTTAAACTAAACAAAGATTTGTTAAGGCTCAGGCTGCAGAATGGACCTTCTAGGGTTGATATGTTTATTAAATTGGCAGGAAATCAATTATTCGTGAGAATTTTATACTAAAGAAGAAGAATGTTGGGTATCATGACAGGCACTAAACAGATGGTAGAAAGGCTAAATGAAGACCTGAACCACCCTGCCCAGTTCTTCAGAGAACAATTCTGACATCTTCACCCATTTCTGAAATTGTCACCCAATTCTGTCATATAAGTCAGTTCAAATAAAACACAAACCAGTGATTAAAATTTACTCTCTCCCTTCTGATTCTGCCAGATACAATAATCCATCCTTTAGGGAACATAAGTATGGCTCTGAGTTTTTAGGAAGGAGAGAGAAGGCAGGAACAATGACCATTTTAAAGCCAGAATTGTTAAAAATCAGCCCTAAGGAGAAGTTAAGGTAACTATAACAGGGTCCCTGGGGTACACAGCATGCACTGTTTGGGGGTGCTGAGCTGTTCCAGGGTAAGCTCTAACACAGTGCAGTTACAGAATGTGGACTCACTGGGAATTCAATACATTTGTATAAAATATAGAGAGGTGTTTACCAAATTTGGGGCAAAAAAGCTGACCATTTTATGAGGTTTTAAACAAGACATTCTCTTCTCAGTGCAGTTAATGGTGTTAGTAGAATGAATATTTGAGGAGCCTTTCTATCCTGAGATGTTCCTGGTAAACGATGGCAGTATAGGAATGCTCACGTTATACGTGACCTAGGGGTTAAGTGCATGATTCTGAGCTGAGCCAGAACACAGCACAAATTCTAGCAGCTGTCAATGCTGTCAGGACTGCCGATTGGACCCGTGTTGGCGTTGGCTTTTCCCGAGGGATCAGACTGCAACTAATTTAGGAACGCAGAAATAACAGGGCAAAGCCGCCTTCACCACTGGAGAATCATCCTAGCATGCATCTAAGTATCATTTACATAGATGGAGAGCGGCCCTTTGCCATTATGTACCAAGACGATTGGTAATTTAGCCCAGGTGGGAGACCTCCCAGATGGCCCTCAGCCGGACCAAACAGTGACGTGTCACATGTCAGATCCCAGCTCCATGTGTGAGATACAACTGATGTATTTTTACCAATCTTTGGTCCTAAACTAAGTCATTTTAACTCCAGAGCAATGGACAGAGATGACAGAATACACTGCCCCCCAGTCTTTTTCTTCCACTGGTTATAAATACCTCCGTGTATGCAAATAGAGGCAGGAGTCCTAAGCTCGTTAGGAAGGGAAGGAGGCTTGGAGCACAGAGAGGACAGTACTGAGCTGAAGCTGATAACAGTGGCCTTGTCCAGAATAGTGCATGGGAGCTTTCTTATCTGGCTTTGGCAGGAGGTGCTGTGGACTTCCTGTGCGAAATCAGGACTGAACGCTGCTTTCCTCTTGTTGTTCAGCTTCCTCCCCCCTCAAGACGGTTCCCAGCACAGTGATTATCTTTGCATCTTCAAACATGGCACAATCTACTTCCTTAAGGGCTTGATGTATTCTTAAGGCTTAGGCAAATTCCCCTCCCCCTAAATCTCTTTTCAAGTGCTGTGATAGAGTCAGGCTCCTAAATGACGTTCTATTTTTATGGTTCCAATTACAAAGGGAAAAATAACAGGCCCTAAATTAGAAAAGAGCCACAGAATCTGTCCTTTCATTTGGAAGAGCTGGCAGTGAGCTGGGCCTATGGTTTCTATACCAAGGCCGTGTGGTTTGCAACTGCCCTGAGGGTCACAGGTAGGGCTGGGTGTTGGGGGAGATGAAGGGAGGTATCAGAAGGCGACAGCCCTGAGTGAACTCAAGACAGCGGACTGTATTTCCCTTACTCTCACATATTTCTTTGTATTTCCTGAAGGCCAAAAACTCTATATGAAACTCCAGTCTTTGACTAAGACTCCTCTTCTTCATTGCTTTGGGGAAAAAAAACAAAGAAACCTAAAGCCCTCCTTTTGCAGGTACCAGAGAAGCCCAGGTGTCCCAAGTCACAATCTCAAATGCTCATGCAAGCGTCTAAATCAAATACAGATGAGGGCTGTGAATGGTGGGAAGTCAAATAGGAGCTCAAGGTATAGATGTTACAGTCTAGCGGACAGAGAAAAAGTGGAGCAAAGTGACTTATATAATGATTTAAAAACTATTGTTAAAATGTTCTCCGTTGAAGAGGAAGTAACTTCTCCTTGGTTCAGTTTTCTATACTAATCAATAAGACTTAAGATGTTTACTTGGGCCAGGGATACAGCCCAGCAGCACAGCGCCTGCCTGGCAAGCGAGAAGCTATGAGTTCAATTCCTGGCACCAAAAAAAAGATTAAAATGTTCACTTATTTTACCTCATAATTTTATTTTATTTATTTATTTATTTTTTTATCTGTACCAGGGTTTGAACTCACGACTGCCTGCTTGCAAGGCAGGCGCTTATGCCACTGAGCTAAATCCCCAGCCCCTACCTCATAATTTTAAAGAATAGCTAGTAGATATCCCAGAAATTCCTAAGAAATGGTCAGCCCTTTTTAAATTTTGAATATTATGATCTAATTGCAAACACAGACATCACATAACATTTGGGGAAACCCCAAACACAGGACGGGAATCACTGCTAATTCTGTTAGGTGTAAGCATAGCTCTGTAGTTATGTTAGAAAACACGTCTGGTCTTAGAAACACTCACCTGGTGTACAGCTAAAATTATACGAGTCTGGCGTTTGCTTTAAGGTACTTCACAGGCAAAAAAATGAAAACAGGATAATAACTAAAACACGGCAGATCTGGATTACTGAAATCTAGATGGGGGTATAGCTCAGTGATAGAGCCCTTGCCTAGTGTGCAAGGCCCTTGGTTCTATCCCCAGCACACGTACACACACACAAAACAATCTGGAGATAAGTATTTGGTGGTTTATCACACTGTGTTCTCTACTTATCAGTATGTTTGAAAATAACAAACAATGAAAACGTTTTCTAGAAATAGAACATGTCAGGTACTGCGTGCTTGCGTGCTTGTTTACGAATGCTGGTGGGGTGCTGATTACACTCTGGGACCCTGCTTAGCGAGGCAGACTGAGTGCATGCATGGGTACAGCCACTGCTCCCTGCTCTTGGTGCAGAGGCTCTAGCAACAGTAAGTCAGCCTCGAGAAGCTGACAAGCTGTAGGATGAGGTCACAGGGCATGACACAGAAGGTGGGGAGCCTAACCCAGCATTTAACATCGACGTTTAACATTCTGGGAACCATTTTTGGCCCAAGGAACAGAAAAGAATATTAACAGAACTTTATTCTGACCCTCGTAATCTCTTCTACTGTCCTCTCATTTACTTTACCTTTATATCCTTAATATCCACCACTCATTCTTTCTGGAAATAAAATTCTTCCTGGCATGAAAAAATCTCTAGAATCTGCCTAAGACATGCATAAATTCAAGATTAACAAGCTTTCTAATCATCAAAAGGTCTAGGCCAAAAGGTAAGAATGCAAAATGACAAAATGTTTAAAAGGGGAAGGACTTTACTAACCTCGAAGATAAGCAACATCAAGACCCTTTTTTATAATTTAATACCTGAGGCCTAACGCTGTCAGGAGCTTGCCATGATACCCCAAAACTTGAAAGAAATTGATGGACTTTAAGATGTTTGTTTCCAGATACACTTAATTAGCCTTGAAAAAATTAGCTGTACAACTGAATATTCCAAGTAAAAGCCAGCCTCTTATGGATGTGAGATGCTATTTTCTCCAGGTTTCCATTCATTAACAGAACTTCATTTTCCCTGTATGTTTGCATGTTACTCCCCCTAGGAACCAGTGGAGTCCAGATACTAGATTTTCTAGTATATGCATTTTTCTTTGATATTTAAAACATGAACAATGTACAGCAGCAAACTGTTGGGGTTTTGTTCCTAGCAAGCAAACATATTTAGTATTTTTATTCTGAAAAAAATCAAAGGAAAATAAGATTTACATAAAATGTGTGCTTTTGTTTCCTAAGAAGGTATGCAGTGGTTTGTATAAACCAGGCTACAAAACATCATTCTAATGACTTTCTTTTTTAAATAGGTCGGACTTGTGTTCCACTAGTGAAGAGTCTTTTCTCCTGAATTCTCGCAGCAACGTGGACAACAGAATTGAGAGCATCACCCAGCGCATGGCAAAAACAGAAGAAATGAATAAGGTATGGCTTGTAATATGGGTATTGGGATATTCCAAAAACACATACTCATCTCCCAGTCCTAGGTTTATTGGAACCAGAAGTAATTCAAATGCTCGTACAAAATTCAAGGAAGAGTAAGACATTATCTGAGATATGTTAAGATACATTAAGTTTATTCAAACTACTATATTCTCCCACTGATCCCTAATTCTGAATGGAATAGACAGACTAAACCTGTGAACAGCAGATTCCCCATCAATGGTTCTTAGCTTTGACTGCAGGTTCATGTGCCAATTAGCATTATATCCAAGTCTCCAAGGTGAAGCCCCAGGCCCATAAAAACTCCCCATGTGATTCCAGTCTATAACCAAGGCTGAGAATCACCTTCATGCGTAAGTGGGATCCCAGCAAGCAAAAGCTAATACAAGCCTTAGAGTAAAAACTGAATGTTTTTGTAGCCATAGTTATCAAATTTTTCTGTCTTTGCCAGCGCAAAGCCTAAACTGGGTTATGCGTACACACAGTCTATCAAGATCTCTCAGTCTCAACCCGCCACTCTTGTTCCATTCATTTCCCCTCCTCTGACCCTCTCCTGAGACTTGGTGATCACTGACACCCTGTGAACCAAGCAAGTCTCACATGATGGAGAATCTAGTCACTTTTTCTCTACTGAGTTAGTGAAGAATACACTTAAAAAGTGTCTATTATGGCGATACTTTAAAATATCCACCATGTCTGTTTACACATGCATATCTCGATTTGGAGTAGGGACTGTAACATAGACACCGCTGTCTGCTCAAATGGGATTATACATAGACCACCTATAGCAGCTGTGTTCTTTGCACTTAAAGATAATGGCATCATTCTCTACGTAAGATTTAACAGTATTTTTCATTATATGAAACCTTCTGACATATACTAATGTTACCATCATTCTTTGCCAAGCCAGGGTGCTTTTCTCCATTTTAAAGATAAGGTGATTAGCCCAAAATCACACAGTTTAAAAGGGTGAATGAGAAATTCAAAGCAAAATCTTCCAATTCAAAACCAAGGGCTGTCACAGCTAAATGCAGAAATTTAAATGACAGGGGCTAACATAGCAACATCAGCAGTCACCTGTCAAGAGTTTAGAAACGGGGCTGGGGACTTAGCTTAGCGGCTTAAGTGCCTGCCTTGCAAGTGTGCGGTCGTGAGTTTGATCCCTGGTATCGATAAAAAAAAAAAAAAAAAAGAAGAAGAAGAGTTTAGAAACAGTTTGATAGTAGCTGTAGGTGACTTTATAATTCTAACAGTAATAGAGAAACATTCTATGATGGATAGCTTTCGATGAGAGACCAATTTAATGACAGAGATAGAGGGCAATCTATAACATTTAGTCTGGGTGATGTACAACATTTGGGGGGACTATCTCAGTCTATTAGCAGTTTACAATAAATTAGTTGTCACAAAGTAGGGGTATTTCAAGATATCATCAGTAGTCTTTATTCATTTTGCCTTTTCCTGGCCTAATTGAGTAGATAAATGATTTACTGCCGGATATTCAAAATAAGAACTTATGAGTATAATTTTAGTAGTAACTTCTGATCTTTGGTATCTTATCCATAAAGCTGTGCCCCAGAAAATAAAATGAAAATTGAAGCTAAATAAGATTTGTAATCAGTTTGAACAATGAAGTAGTAGGCAATATGTGGATGCCCATAAAAATGGTAGGAACAGAGTAATGAAACCGGACTGAGATAGAAGTTATCTAATTTTCTCATGTGGGCCTGAAACAAGTGTACTACCTTGTAATTTTGTAGTTAGGAAGAGAGTTTTTAAGTATGCACTTCTGCACACAGGACTTCCACACCTGCCCTGCATTCGGGAACCCCAGGGTTAAGCTCTGCTCTTTTAGACTTGTGAAACCACTAGGTCAGTTTCTCTTTCCTGGAATTCTCTCCTCCTGAATGGTGCTAATGATATTTGCTCTACTTAGCTTCCTCTTATAATAATGAGACGAAATAACATGGTGAGAACGTAGTACTTTAACAGTAGTACTTTAATAAAATGCTAGCTATATATACTCTCTAATACAATACCCCGAATATTATAATCATATACAAATAAAGATTTTTGTTAAATGATTACTTGTATTGTAAACTTTTAATACTCTTTCTAAACAACATTTGGAGGTGAAATATAAGAGGGTATAATAGTAACACATTCGATTTAAAGTACTAATTTCAAGCTCTCCAAAAATTCATTTGGGAGAATGCACGGCTTCTACTTCTGTGTTGACTAATATGTGTCGTATGTTTAAAAAGGTGTCTTTCATGTGATGATGACATGGAAACTGCTAGACACAGTGCTTCTTACCACTGAAACTATTCCTTCTTCTTCTGTACATTTTTAGAAATTAAGTCCGATTTTAGACCATGCCAATCCCCTTCCTCACCATCACATGGGCAGCTAAGCCCTCAGTGCCCCTTTTGGGTCAGGAACTTACACTGGGGCACCTGCTAAATTTTAGGGACTTTTTTCTTTCTTCCTTTCTTTTTTTCCATTCAAGGAAGGGTATAAATAAAAATCAAATTCTGTTTTCTTCTTGGCAAATTTTGGTCCAGGATTGTGAAATATGAGTCACCGCCTGGAGTAGCTAATAACAAATATGCAGTTTTCATAGTTTTAAACATTATTGTACTAATTCTGTAAGGCTGGGAATCATGACAGTTTTAATGTAACATTTCCACTGAAATGAGGACCTGTTGAAAAGTGTGTGTCCTGCATGAGACAAATTCATGACTTGAGATACTTATCGCAGAATTATAGCTTGTGTCTTCATTCCCACGCGTCCCCTGACTTATTCTAATTTTCATGTTCTATTTTCCCATCAATTGACTCTAACATACCCATATTAATTTTAGATTCCTTTGTGACCTTTATACATCTACTTTTATTTCTCCCCAAAACAATTAAAAGCAAGTTAAATTAGAACCATTCCAAAATTAATGCCACTGTTCTATATATAGACTTCTTAAAAACTAGTGCTGGAAATTAGGCTGGATGACACATCACCCATTCATTCTGTTCTGAGATGCTGAAATGGCATTGCAGAAGTGAATTACTAATGCCCAGTGAAAGGGAAGGAAGGAAGGGACACGAAACACCGAACTTACAGTACTTGACGACAGTCATTATGGGTGTTCCTGGGTCGTACACAAAGTCCAGGGGAGAACCTGGAGGGACCTGTTTCTAATACCTAAACCCTGGGGTCCCGGCAGGATGCTCTCCAAAGCCGTACAGTAGCCCAACATGGTAAAAAATAAGGAGCAGAAAATACAAATCCTTTAAGAATGTAGAAATACACTGGGCTGAAAACCTCACTGAGAGGTTGCTTACCCCAAACTAGTCAATTGACATTTTAAAAAAATTTCTTTTAATCGTGCTGGGGATTGAGCTCTACCTCTAGCCACACCATTGAATTTTTTAAATGTTGTCAGTTAATGTGTTCATTCTGTGTAATGAGGTAATGCAAGTTTTAAGTAGATGAGAAGGAATTGATCTCCGGTACCTTCTGAGTAATAGGAAATTGGATATTCTAATTTTATTTTCGCACTTTTTATTTTTCAATCCTTTCACTTATTTTCAGTATGGAAAATTAACGATAATTATAGAAGTAATAGAAGCAGATATCCATGAGGGTTTCCGTTGGTGTACTCTACATAATAAATGATTATGACTTTAAACATATGTTACAACTCAAATCCTTGGCATTTTGTCTCTTATTTTTTTTCTTTTTTGGCCCTGTCTTTTAAAGTATTACAGTGATATCTGGGGCTCCAAATGTTAAGCTCTTTTCATTTTGAAGTAATAGTTTTTTTGGTTGGAAGCACCAGGGAACAGATTTGTCCAGACATTCGTGCATTGACATTTCCTGGCATGTATGTTGTCTTGAAGTCCAACCAACCAAAGCCAATCCACCACTCGCACCTGACTTTCCTTCTCTAAGCTAAAAGTTTAAACTTGAATTGTCAAGTATTTTTACATTTTATGAAACTGTGTTTTAATTTACAATTTTAAAACATATTCCTGGGAAGAAGAGGAGGACTCTAGAAATGAGATACTTAGTGAAGTTGATCCCGGAATAAAAGTTACACCTTGTTTTTAAATTTTCTTTTCTTTTCTTTTTCTTTTTTTTTTTTTTTTTCTTGGTACCGGGGATTGAACTCACAACTGCCTGCTTGCAAGGCAGGCGCTTATGCTGCTGAGTTAAATCCCCAGCCCCTTAAATTTTCTTTATAACCTTTATATTCATCACATATTTTCACATCACACAACATTTTCTCCATTTAAAAACAGCTCGCGGCTTATGTAAAATGCTACCAAAGCAGGAAACTCGCATTTCAATACTCGATAGCATTTAGCTTATGGCCCATCTCAGCTGCCTAAAGGAAGAATTCTTAAGGAAAAACCAAATTCAGAGAGTAGACAGAACTTAACCGATAGGTGTGTGTGATCGATTTAAAGGGTTTTAGTGGATGAGTCGATCTGATTGAGAAACTGAGAACACAGTTACTGAGTTAGATGCAGCTGGGCATAAGTTTTTCCCAGACTGATTTGTGGCCCTGTTAACCTTTATAAACCTCAGCTGCCCCATCTGTAGACTATGACAGTGATGGCAGACCCTTTAGAGCATTCCATGATAACAAATAACCAGCTGTGGCACGCATGACACTGGAATAGAGTAATAAACCCATCCCACAGGGATACAGAGAAATCGGATAATGCAGTGAAAACAGCATCGTTTTAATTGAAGCCCAAGCACAGCTTCTAGATGCGAGTAATCGCTTTCCAGACTTTCAGACATCCCCAGCCAACAAAAATAGCTTTCTGCTTAGTTACTGTGCAATGATAAACCTGAGAGCCAAACTCAGTTTCTTCTTAGGACTCAGGACAAACACTCGAACTTATACACAGTACCTGAGCTGACATGTCACAGAAGGCAGCATTATTTGTGGTGTGTGTTTTGAGACAGGGTCTTGCTACACAGTGGAGACTGGTTCTGAGTTACTCATTTTGTAGCCCAAGCTGGACTTGAACTTTCAACAGTCCTCCTGCCTCAGCCTCCCAAGTGCTGCGATTACAGGCATGCACCACCACGCCTGACCTAAGGAGACTTCCTGTGAGCTCCGTATATTAGAACCTTTTGCAAACTGCTTGGCAGCACTGAAGCCTGAGATGGCTGAGGCAACAGAAGAGAGTTATTCCCCCTTGGTGACCTCTCCTGCCTGTCCAGCTGTCACTGGCTAACAGTCCCACACATGCTGCCACCTTCAGGCATCTCTTCCAAGTCTGCCACTTTCCTCCATGACTCTCAGTGGTGGGTACAATAGTTAAAAGGAGATGTCTATCAGAACCGTTTTCTTTTCCCATCTATCAAGATTAATACTTAAGGAAGGAAGGAGGTTTCTGTGCTCTCTTTCAAATGCCTCTTCACTGGTGGTGAACTTCTAAATTACTGCTTCTTTTCAAAATAAAGGACATACATGTAATCCTCAAATTAGGAAATTATTGTCTATGGCCTTAAAAGTTGGAAAGGGTAGGGACTGTGTGGTACTCACCTCTGACTCCTTTGTAGCATCTTCCTAATCAGTCAATAAATGCCTGCCAAATGGAATGAACAATGCCACACATTGCCAACATTTTGTTACCCATAATTTCAATAATATGTATAGATGTAATTAAGTGGATACTTCCAACAAAAGAGAAAGCATTTAGAAAGAAACTGTGGCAATGAGCTTGCTGACAAAAAAAAGAGTGCATTTTTAGTCTCTTTATCTGTAAAGACAGAACTACTTTAAATTTATTAGGTGAGATAAGAGATCACAAATATCTAGGATCAGCAACTCAGAGGATGCTGGGATCCTTCCTACTGACTAAACCATTTGAGTACATTCACAGCACAGGAAAGCCATTGGTCACATTTCAGCCCATGCTTAAAATGTAGCCTGTGCATCACTTGGTCACTGTGTGTTAGCTTGGGACCTGACCAGACAGAAAGTGGCATCACAGCCCCTAGGATTTCACAGCCCATGACCAGTTATTTGCATAAATGTGTGACAGTGATTCATAAGCAACCAAATCAAGTATTTTGTATATAGTTTTAAGTATGAAAAAACTTGCCTTTTTGCTTTTATACAGTATATGGACTTACGTATGCTCCTTCAAGTATTAATCTTGATAAATGGAACAAAGAACATTTGTCTGGTATTGCACATTTTTTAAAATAAAGAAACCAATTTAAGTCTTTAAGTTATCTAAAATTTATTTCATTATTTTTTAGACATCACAGTTTGAAAGTGCTTTTATGCTCCCACAAACTTGACTGTTAATACTTAGCTGGAGACAAAGTTGTCAAACAGCATTTCACTCCTGTGAAACAGTGTCAATCAATGCACAACTTATGTCTTAGCTTTCTAGGAGCTGAACTTACAAGTTAGGTAATTCACACACACACACACACACACACACACACACACACACACACACACGCATGCATCATCCACAGGACAGTCCTGGTGAGTTTTTCAGCCTCCTGTCTCCTCCGGGACCAATCAGAGCTGGATGCTGCCACATTCCTTGAGCACACAGGAGAAGAGGCTCCACCAAACTTACTCTTTTGTCCTTGTTTACCTAAACATGCCAGATGGCCAGAGGCCTCCTGTTTCAGGTGTCCTCACACTCCCTGTCACCAAAAAAGGGACAGCCTCAGCCTCACCTTTCCTGTCCCCAACACTGAACAGACTACCTGCAGGTGATCTACGCAGTCCCTCCTCACAGGGATCAGGTCTGTGACTGTTGTTATCCCAGTAGCACAAAGACCTCCTGTGGGGAGGATGTCCTGGGGCTGCAGGCTCCTGATGACTGGCTTTCCTGTTATTTTCCCATTTTGCTGGGGTAGGGAAGGAGAGAGGTTTCTCCTTCCCTCTCCCAAGCTGCTCTCCCAAGCTGCCTAGGGACGTTCGAGGAGCCCTCTGTCCTATTTTAACTGAAGTTTCTTTTTCTTTTGCAGATGGCAAGCACCTTGGTTGTGGCGGATGCTAGAGTTTCTGGAATCTACAGTTGCGTGGCTTCCAATAAAATAGGAACTGTGAAAAGAAACATAATTTTTTATGTTACAGGTAAGCCACAATGATAGCTATGTCCACGAAGACAACCTGTGACCTCGGCCCCGACTGTGACTTCAGTCCCGTTTGCACTAAGTGTACTTACACCTTGAGTGATTTTTTTCTTTAATCCATAGAATTGTCAGATTATGTATCTCCATTCTTGCTCTCAAGAACAAAATTCTGCAACATCATTGGCTCTCCGACAATTGTTTCCCTAAATTCTCTCTTGGCATTGTTTCTATTTATGTCTCTCCAGACTGGATTGTGATCTTGGGATCTTATATATTTATTTTGAACCCCTGTTAGTACCTACAACAGTTTCTTAATAATAAGCAAGGAAACCTAATACCTTTGGTACTGTCGTATTTCTGTTAACCTAGAAGCTGTTTCATAACTTAAGTAATTTATTCGGGGGGGAATGAGGGAGATCTGAAATTGAGCTTTATCAATAATAGTTAATAAATTTTTAAAATCATGTAAAAAGTTTCAAATATGATGGTCTCTGCAAATCTTAAAACCTCCAAAGTACAGAAATGGCACTCCTTACATCCCTCCATGGGTACAGGAAGGAAGTAAGTGACTCAAACTATAAAAACAATTACCTGGCTCCACACCACCACCACCCCCAATTTCTGAGGCAACCTGGGCAGCCTGCCAGCTCTCTGGAAACTTCGCACCGCATGGGGCAGGCTGCAGAGATGGCCTAGAAGTCTCCAGAAAGAATCAGGCAGGACTCATTTCAGTTGGGTTAACAGGAATGTTTTCACAAGTTAGCCAAGGCCAGAGAAGGCGTCCACGGGGAGTGTCCCAGGAGAGCCCTGGAAGGCACTCTGCAGAGTTCTAGCTCACGCACTCTCCAAACAAGAAAACAGCTCAGGAAGTGAGGCACAGAGGTACACAGCAGAGCTGCTTCATGTCCTCGCTGCGCAGATGTAAGGAAAAACATCCTTACATCTCTTCCAAATGAGGAATTCTGACCGGAATTTCATGTAGATGGGTTTGCTAATAAATCCAGATGAGTCGAATTAATTAAGCATAAAGCTTAATTATTGGTCTTTATATTTGGCTGGTTACATAATCACTGTATTTAGAATACAAACGATGAGGCAATGCTTGCCCTTCTCTGAACATTCAAAAGTGTGCAACAGCTTAATGAGCTCTGAGCGTTAAGCAGCACACTTCCCCTCTGCTCCGAGTGCTCACACGGGAACCAGCGGGAACCAGCGCGGCGTGTCTCTCCAGGAAGACGGCTCCAACGCTGCCAAGACGAAGAAATGATAAATTTCCTAGTATCAAAAACTGGGCACAGACAGAGCACTTGGGCTCTGAGTTCTAGCCTCAGTGCTACAAAAATAGTAGTAACATGACACAGATTTTAAAGCCCCACTGTCCAACTGAGATAGGAGCCTTGAGTGTAATTTAAAATTTTCTGGTTACTACATTCTTTAAAAGTAAAGTTAATTTGATTTATACCACACAGCCAAAGCATTATAATTTCAATATGAAATCAACATGAGAGAGGTGCTGGGGATTGAATGCAAGACCTTAAAGATGCTGAGCGTGTACTCTGCCCCTAAGCCACACCCCCAGCCCTATAATTAACATAGGAAAAGTACAACATTGTTTCAGTGTCTTCCTTTGGCTCTATCTAAATAACAATAAAATTCAGTACAGTGTCGGACTGTGCAGCTATAGGCCTCTGAGCAGGGGTGGGATGAGACAGGGGCCTAGAGAGGGGTGAGACCAGTAAGTAGAGAGGAGAGGCTGGGCGCCACATTGGCCGAGCCAAGGTGTGAGAGCCAGAGGTCACCCACAAACCATTCATTTCACCACAAACCGGTTCTAGAGCAAGCCAACGAGCCATTGCATTGCTCACATTTCCTATGGACAAATATACCTTCGCCAGGATCCAAAAGGCCAGGACAAGTTCAGGAACTGCTCAGAGCTACAGGGCAGCTGTGGCAGCACCTCAGGGTGCAGAACTGACACATGTGGTCTCCACTCCGGATTCCACCCCACCCATGCACCCCCCGATGTGGTCTCCCTGCCCTGACCCTCACCGAGTCTTCTCTTGGCCACGTCTAAGGGGGTCCTAGAGATGTGCACACCCACTGACAAGCACTGACTGCTGTCAGGAAGAGGAAGAGTCCAGAGCCAGCCTGAAAACAAACCTGGGATCATCTTTTGGGGGAATTTTGGGGTGCCAAGGACCCTGAGCATGATACAGGAATAGGGTGACACAGTCTCTGGGTGGGTCATAGCCTTGTCACATTGTAAGGAGGAGTATAGCCAGAACCGCGCTACTGAACAGCCGCCTGGGCCTCGGTCTCAGCAGCCAAAGAAGATTGCTAACACTAGAAGGCAACGGGATTCACACAGCTTCAAACTGCCCTTCCGGAAACCAAGAACGTTTTTCCTTTAGAAATCCAAGAGCTTTGATTTTAAAACCGAGCACAAGTTCAACAAATCCAGCCCTCTTCAACTAGATGATGCTTCCTTCAAACAATTTAATCTGCTCAGCCCTGGAAAGTTCTAGGTTAGGTTGGTGATAGGTTACCTGGTTTACATTCATTATTCATTTTTAGCTAATGATGTTTTGCTTACTCAAACTTTATCGCAAGATTTACTTTCATTAGACATGAGAATAAATACTAATACACTGCACCTTACCTGTTTTTCTGGAAAAAAAAAATGAGTGTACATTTTTCAGTGCTTACTCGGTGAGAGCAATGCTTTAATAAAGCTGGCTATCTAAAATTCTACTGCTGGGCTGGGGATTTAGTTCAGCAGCATAAGCACCTGCCTTGCAAGCAGGCGGTCATGAGTTTGATCCCCGGTACCGATAAAAAGTTAAAAAATAATAATAATAAAATAAAATTCTAATGCTGTAAAGATCCAGATCTGGATCTTCAGTCTTCAATTGTGCTGCCTCTTCTTAAAACACAAATACTTTGCCTCCCAAAATGATAAAACTGGTTCTCTGTGGCTGTCAGCAGTTCTGATAGTTTCACCTCCAAACCTTAGCAACCCACTGGTACACGGGGCCTACTTGAAACCAGAAGAGCTTTCTGGTTCACTCGCCTTTCAGGGAAGATTTCCATTCTGCAACATAAGGAAAAATTTCTATGTCTCTACCTGGTGAACGACAGATCTCCTCGAGCATTTTGCACATCTGTGCTCGTCTTTTTTATACATATAATCCAGTCCCATGCGTGCCTATCCCTATATGCTCCCCGCTGTAAGCAGGTCACTCTTCTAGCTGACCACATACCACTGCCTCTCTGTGACACCTCATAAGACTCTATGGACATGACACGTGTTAAATGGATGAACCATGGCGAAGACTGCCGACTCTGAACCAGATATTGAAGTGTGGGAAGATTTCTTGTTTTCACTTGGAGGTCTAGAAGGCAATGCTTTCTCGGGACTGTTTTTGTACTCAGGCTAGCAAAAAGTCAACATGAATTAAGGGGAAATCCCTCTGGGCTCACTAAGCATCGAAGAACATTCTATTTATCATCTTCTATGGATCAAAAGAGAATACCAAAGGGCTTACATCAAGAAATAGATAATCTTGTCTAAGAGGCTGTCTGATGACTTAAGCCAAATTCACTTCAGTAACTGTGACTGACATACAAGGAATGGACCTTAAAGTGGGTTTGGTCCTTGTCTCCTATGTGTGTGTGTTTGCAGTGTTGGTGGCATTAGGCATGACCACAGACATGTGAGCAGTTGCTGAGGGAGAAACAGGAACAGCCTACCTTATCTCCCTGGTCTCCCAATGTCACTAAGTGCATTTTATTTTAGATTCCTGGTGGTGCTTGGCAAAGATAAACAAAATCTTCCATCAGGAAACCTGTGAGCTATTTCCACAGGAAGTTTCAAATCACTAAAGTAAACAGAAGCTCTCTACATGATCTCAGTGGTGTTACTGGGCTCCCTTGGGTTCTGACTAGCAGGATGGGACCTCATGAGTGGAAAGTTTGTGGTCTTGTTAAAACTCCACAACCAGTGCAACCAGTGCAACCTGTGCCCCGGACCTCTGCTCCACCGTCTGTAAAAGCTGATAGCCAGCATTTTACTCCTTATGCTTGGAAAACATCCAAAATGTAAAAAGATGCTGAACTGGAATAGTTATTTCTGACAGCTGAGTTTGAGGTTAAAAATGACTGTCAACTGCTCCTGCATCTTGTGGGACATTCTTAGCTTTTCATTTTGGGCAGAAAAACCTCCTATGGCCTCCCCTCTCCTCAGCCACTGACAGCTTCGAACACCACCGTTAGCCCCGCACCCAGCTTTCAAATGAATACTTTGGCATTTCTTCAGACGTGACACTTTATAATAAAGCCAAAGCCCAGAAAAATCAGAAAAACAAGCAAAGTGAGATTTAGGAAAGAGTTGATATGATATCTAATTTTGGACTATTGTCCCCTTAAGGTTTAAAGGTTTCTTTTAGCTTTGTGTGCAAAGGGGAATAATAATAGCATAACACGGTGCTTTTCATCTTCAAAGCACTTTGTAAAATGTTGGCCCAAATTCTTTGCTCAAATATAGATACATCACTAGTAACAAGCAACAGGAGGGTTTGAGAGCAGGTCAGTTCGGGGCCAGTCGCCAATGATTAAAATTCCCCCGTGCATTGGTCCCAAATGACACTAAGGAATTGCAGCCCCAAAGCTAAACAGAGGTGCTGGCTGGAACGCTTATGCAGGTGAATGTGCAGGGCATTGCTAGGGGCGCCTAGGAGATGGCGATGAAGGTGAGCTGGAAATGGAACGACACAGTCACCTTCATAATATGCTATAAATGTTTTTGAGCGTAAAGTTGATATTTTTATCTTGCTGTTGTAGAATCAAACACAGGTCCTCACACTTGCTAGGCAAGCACTCCACTACTGAGTACACTGCCACCCCAAGTCCTCAATTTGAGTTTCTTAAAAATTATTCTTTGTGATTTTTGGAAACTGACAACTCTTCTAGATTAGCTGTGTGCAATTTCAGAGGAAATCTTTGCTTTTGGTGGAGGAGTGGGTACTGGGGACTGAACTCAAAGCCTGCACAAGTGAGCTACATCCTCAGATCTTTTTTAAAATTTTGAGATAGGGTCTTGCTAAATCACTAAGTTTGCCTGGCTGGGCTCAATCCTCCTGCCTCAGTCTCCCAGGGGGTGGGGATTGTACCAGGAAAGGCTGCTCTTATATCTGAGAATCTTCACCGTAAGAGGGAGGCTGACCAAGTAACCTGGATTCTCTGGCCCATTGTGCCAGCAAAATGCAGAGAGCTACTCTGACCTCAGGCAGGGCCTATGAAGCAGCTACTTCTTGTCAGGGAAACGTAGGGGGACAGTGGCGTTGGCCAGCACAGACCTCCCACTTGCCACGCCTACTTGTGATTATCTTGCACATGTGTGCCCATACCTGTGCCTTTGTTTTTTAATACACACTGCTCTTCTTTACTCATTATTTTGTTCAATCAAATGTCCATTAACCAGGAGGAAAACTATATTCAAAAAACAAATGGGAAACAATGTTATCATCCCAAGTTGGAAAACAGCTTTTCCATTGTGAAGAGCAACTCTGGAAAAATAATGAAAAAGTACCATTAAAAATCACTCCCCTGCTGGGTATGCTGGTGCATGCCTGTTATCCCAGTATTCAGGAGGCTGAGGCAGGAAGATTGCTATGAATTCGAGGCCAGCATGAAATGCTTAGTGAAATTGTCTCAAAAAGACTGCCCCCCCCAAATGGGTGGGGATATAGCTCTATGGTACAGCACCTATCTGGCAAGTGTGAGGTCATGATCCCTGGCACCAAAAAGAAAACAAGAAAATGACAAAAACAACTCCCCATTTTGCATTTCTTGTCTCACTTGTTTTTTGAGCCAAGGTCTCGCTGTATATTCCAGGCTGACCTTAAACGCTCTATGTAGCCCAGATTGGCCTTGAACTCACAGCGACCATCCTGCCTCAGCTTCCCAAGGCCTGAGATTACAGGCGTGTACCACCACTCCTGACTCTTTGCTGAATCTGATGGAATCAGTGTGGCTGGGTCCTCTAAAACAAAAGATAAATATCCTTCTTAATGTCGGTGCTGAGAGAATTTGCATCCAGATACCTGACTGTCTCGTTATGAGGCTTTACACTGAAGTTGTTCGTTCTTATTTTACAGACGTGCCAAATGGGTTTCACATTAACTTGGAGAAAATGCCCGTGGAAGGAGAGGACCTGAAACTGTCTTGCACAGTTAACAAATTCTTATACACAAACATTACCTGGATTTTGCTGCGGACAGTAAATAACAGAACGATACATCACAGTATCAGCAAGCAAAAGACGGCCATCACTGGGGAGCGCTCCATCACCCTTCACCTCGTCATCAGGAACGCATCTCTGGAAGATTCGGGCACGTACGCCTGCAGAGCCAGGAATGTACACACAGGGGAAGAAACCCTTCAGAAGACAGAAGTTATAATTAGAGGTGAGCACTGCAACAAAAAGGCTGTTTTCTCTCGGATTTCCAAATTTAAAAACTCAAGGAATGATTGTACCACACAAAGTAATGTAAAACATTAAAGGACTCATTAAAAAGTAACAGTTGTCTCATATCACCTTGATTTATTGTCACTGTTGCTAACTTTCAGGCTCAGAGGAGATGTTACTCTCAAAATGAGTTCGGAGATGCTAGGAGTAATAATGAGAACCCCAGTGCCGGCTCGGGGCTCCCCGTTCAGGCCGAGGGGTCTGCTCCCCAGGGCGACTTGGTGCCAGTGTGGATTTGGAGGATCCCTTCACTGCCTTCTCTGTGTGTTTTGCTCTTGCTGTCTTCTCCTGCCTGATAAACAACAACCTGGGACTGATCCTTTTCTTCCACTTTGATGCCAACCTCTTTTTATTTTTAAATTGTGAAGCTGCACAAACTGAATAATTCAAATAAAGGCTGGTTTCTGCCAAAGATGGACACGGATAATTTTTAGCTCAGAATGAGTACAGTTGAATTGGAGACTCTGTTGGACTTCTGCGTGGTTTTATTTTGTACAATTTTCTGCTCTTGATTTGTAAATAGCACCTGGATAGCAAGTTATAATGCTTATTTATTTGAAAATGCCTCCTTTTTTTTTTTTAACATGAAGCACATTGATCTTAAACTGGAGTTTCTAAAATGGGTCCCCATCCTGGGGTGCAAGGTGTTGGTGTAATTCAAAAGGAACAAATCTCTGTCTCCCTGTGAATTACGAAAACCCGTGCAAACTAACACTACCTGCCTCTCTCAACTAATTCTGGATAATTAGCAGATAAGTCTAGCAACTGTCCACTCTCCCCTTCACTGTCCTCACTGGCCTGGACATCCACAACTGCACCTAAAAATGTACATCGTACCTTCATTTTTAATATTTGTATCCCTTGGTTAATTTTCAAAAGCAATTTATCATGTTAAAATGATGATTTCAGTTTGCCCAGGAAATAAAGATAACTGTGACCAGAGTTCTAATGCATTTTTCTAAAGGTCAATTGAAAATCTGTCTCTTTAAAAAGCCCACTTTACCCATATGCAAATGTTGATAGGATTTTTATGGGGATTAAGAACTGGCAAAACTGTAGGAAAGTCAGTTAAACATACATGTCACGTATTTTTTTTAAATCAAGGGAGTCTTTAAGCTCTTGTTTTAAGGTTGCGTTTGAGGGGAAAGTGACTTTTTCACATTGCCTTGTTCTGTTATGATTCAGTTATGATTGATCATTATAAGTGCCTTGCAAGGATTATAGAAGGAGAAAAATTATAATGACCAAAATAACCACAGCTGAGAAACACAGTGGCTGGGCAGCTCCGTAGGAGGTGACACTGGGACAGCTTTCCAAGCTTGGGAACACACCAGCCTGTTTTCTCCTTTAGGTAACAGACTCCTTCTCATGGCTAAACTTGTCTTTCACGTGGGAATTGCCTTTGTCGAGTGTGAAAGAGTAAACAATAGCATTTCCCCAGAATGCCAGTTTTATGGAGCCCCAAACGCTCAGAAAACAATTAGCAACCTGGAAGTTGTCAGCCCAAAGGAAAGAATAATCAATTGTATCTTGAAAATTTACCTATGGCTCTTTGGCCTGGCCTCTTTGTTCATTATAAGTCAGAGTGTTCCTTCCGGATACAATGCCTCGGTGCCACAGAACTTGGGGGCCTTAGATTTTACAAAAGCTAAAAAACCAAATGGAATGATTTAGATGTTACTTAGGAAAAATGATAAATTGGACATGCAGAACCTACCGTTTCCCTTCCTCTGTTGCAATTTTTCTGAGGGGAAGATAACATTGATATTGCAAGACATGATTTTAAGAATTCCATAGAGTAATTGTTTACTGTATAATTAACCCTTCCAAAAGATTTTTGTTTAAGGAAGCTTGGGTGAGTTTTGCTTTTTATTAGGTATTCTTTGGGGTATGCAGTGAGGTGAGAATGAGAGAGAGGAGAAGAGAAAAAACAAAGAGCCCAAAGAAAAAAGCAGGGGTATGCGGCTGGTTCCTCAAACCCCCTTCCAAATAAAGGAAAGGAACTGTGTATTTATGGGACCTGGCAGGTATCTGGGGCCAGAAAGCTGGGAAGGGAAAAACTTGGTAGGCAGCTGTCTTTGGCTACTTATAACCCGTAGAAATATTCCATTAATTCTGATTTTCTGAAGGGATCGTATAACCACTAGAAATATCCCATTCATCCTGAAGGGATCAGCTCTGCTTGTTAAATTTAGGAAAGAGGTTCTACTCCCATCAGTGTGGAGGGTTCAGAACCAGTATGTGTGGGTTCTTACTTAAAATGTCACAATAGAGTATTGCAGTGTATGAAATAGGAAACTAACAAAATGTGCCCTGGTTAAGAAGTCACTGAAAAGTAGACAAAAATAAAACACTTCACATAGAAGAGCATTTATCAGAAACTAGGTCTTAATACTGTATGTCTCAGAATGTTTATATGAACCCTGTATTTAACTGAGAGTTCCACGTCTGTCCTGCAGCTTTTTTTGTTGTTGCTTGTCTGAAGTTCGTAGAGTACAAACAGGTCCTCTGGGAGTTCTTTATGATATTTATGTTAAAATAAAATGTTCTTTTCTATATAAGCATTGTTTTCTGAACACCTGTCAGGGAAGTCTAAATCCTGTCTGTGTTGATGTTTTGGATTATAGATATGAAAATAATTTGGGTATTAGAGTCCCTCTATTCAAGCTTCCTTTTTATAAGGACTATGCAATAACAGATTATTTTATCATGTTTAACCATTGGATACAGTAAAATGTGCTGGAGGAAGCTACTGAGAATATAACTGAGTGAACTGGGCTCTGAGTGTTAATGAGGTAGGTCAGAGGCAAGCCTGTCACCCATAGAACACAAAATAGTGCCATGACACTTAGCATAGCACGTGACAGATTCTGAATGAGGCAAGAGGGTCTTTGCTGCCATTCCACCCACACTATGTTTGAAGATTTTATAAATCCTAGCATTTCTTTCAACACTTTTGCCTTTCGATTTCTTTTTACATAAAATGAGAAGACTAATAATAAACGATGGAAATTGAAATGTACCGAAAAATCTGTTTCCCTCGATAGCAATCCTGCCGCCTTATACTAGTTCAGCATGTTATAAAAGTTGTACAATAACATCCTTTTTAACCTGGAATATCAAAATGGCTTTAACAAATGCTAATCCTGAGAGTCTTGCTGCGGGAATCAAGAGAGAAAGGTTTGGGGGCTTGGCAGGATCCTAGAGGGATGTGGAATGGAAGTCACTGTGCTGAATACTCTCTGTAGCATTGTGATTACCCCAAGCTGCTTTCACAGTGTTAACACACTAAGATGAGGAAATACAGAAATGGTCAGAGAACGCGTGCACTCTACAGATGAAACTCGTGCCGCAGAAGGTGTGAGTTATGCCAAAACTCCTTTGATGTCTGTTTCAGGGTTTGTAACAAGAAGTAAGAGGGGTGATCTGGGAAGGTTGAAAGATATCAGGAGTCACTTTTATTCTTTTACGTTGGAAGCCTGAGCTACCAGTCCAGTACCCACCTAACTAGAATGTATACACATCAGCAGGACTGACTACTTCATTAAATAGAAGCACTGTACTCTCTGGGGGTTCGGGGGTGCTGCTGTTCTTATGTGGGATTTTAATGTTGTAATGTATTGCATCTTAATGTATTAAATTCATTTTGTTGTACTATATTGGTTGGCATTTTATTGGAATAAATTGTATTGTATTATATTTGTATGTTTTAAGAGAAAATAATATAAAATACAATATTTGTACTATTATATAGTGCAAAACCTATACATCCATGCCTCTGCCTCTTGAATTAATCCTTTGGTTGCTTGCATTTGGGAAGGGTTTGCATTTGGGAAGGAAGGGAACAATCAATAAAGCTTTCAGAATTCAAGACTCCTCCTGTCTGGTCTGCTGCCTTACGATTTAGGTTACAGAGTAACACAGACACACCCTCACTGACATTAATGAACACGCGTAAGGAATTTCGCTGGGAAAGTGGTAGAGTAAACACTTGCCTGACCTGTGCAAGTCTGATGCCAGCACTGCAAAGAAAACAAAACAAAACAACGTAAAATGTGACCAGTCCAGCACTGCATCGTATTTTAATGTAAACTACAAGCCTGTGTAATTTATAGCCCCTAGTAGATAAAGCGAAATCTTTGTTTTATAAAAGCTCATTAAAAGGAAGAGAAAGAAAAAAGCAAAGGGCAGGATAGGACACTACTTGGCCAGGCAAAAACCTTTGCACTAAAACCTGAAACTACAGAATGTGGTACTTGATCTTGCTCGGTTCTAGTTTATTTCAGCCTATTGCGGCATCTTACTAAAGAGTTAGCCGTAGGTTAACTACTGACTGCAAGTCAGGGGATGAAATGGAAAGGAAGCCCTTCATCAAGCCTTGCTGTTGATATATAAATACTTAAAATGCTGGCATGCGTGTACAAGGAAGTAAGACTGCCGAGTAACCCCAGTTTGCTCTCTGTCTTCTCCAGGTCAGGAAGCTCCACACCTGCTGCAGAACCTCAGCGATCACACGGTGGCCATCAGCAGCTCCGCCACCTTAGACTGTCACGTGGGAGGGGTCCCGGAACCTCAGATTACTTGGTTTAAAAACCACCACAAAATACAGCAAGAGCCCGGTAAGAGACGGTTTCCCTTGCTTGTATTTCACTCTTGATCTTTCCTGACTTCCTCCCTGCTGAATGCTCCTGTCACCTGCTTCCTTGCACCCAGACCCACTGGCTGCTAGGGCTGCAAAGTTAGACAGTGCCACATGCTTACACACACCTCCCGGGAGTGACACAGGGGCCAGACCCTCGGGTGCCATGTCTCTAAGCCTTAGGAAAGATCCTTAGACAATCTGTTCAACTGAGAGTACTGTATTAAGAAAGAAATGAGAAAAGCCACAGCACATGGTTCAGATCACCCCAACAGCTGGGGAAGTGAGGGTGAACGACCTGGCTGGAGGTCCTGCAGAGCAGGGAACACCCGGCGTGCATGAAGTTAAGAGAAATAAATTTATAATCATTTTAATTCACCAGACCCACTTTAGTGATTTGGAGACATGACGACTACTTTAAATGATATTTTGTTCTTGTAGAAAATTGGTCAGCTAGTTGTGGGGTTGTTTTTTCAAAAATAAATACTCCGACTTCAACTAGGCCTCCACCAACAAGTATAAAGACAAGCTGTGGCCTGCCTCATAATAACTGTGGTTAAATAAAAATAAACAACTTATTTATAATTGTTAATATTTATATTAAAAATAAAATTGCTACTTGCCTAGTATGCATAAAATTCTAGGTTCAGTTCCCAGCACCACAAATAATAATAATAATAATAATAATGTCATTTATTTGCAAAATAGTCCAACAGCCTAAATCAAATAAATGGCAAATATGAAGTAGTCCTTAAATGTCAATCCTTTCTTCAGAATGAGGCCTCTGTTTGCATCTGATGCACAGAAAGAGAATGTCCTGTAACAACTCCAAATTTTAAGATGCTGTCAAATGTATTAGAACAGCTCTCTATGCTGCAGTTCCAAAATCAGTTACATCATATCATTTTCTTCATAAAGTAGTCTGATGTCATTCACTAAATCATCCAAAGACACAGGTGACAATCTTTCCTCTGCCACCTCATTTAATCGCCGGAACGAGCAGGTCGTGCCTACTACATGCTTATGAAATCCACCCTTTCCTCCGAGTCCCAATTCTCTTGCTTACGCGCTCCCTGTCTATCCTTTGACCATCAGCAGACACTTCCCAACTTACCTCCTTCCCTCTCTGCTCCCTTGGGATCCATTTGCTCTACCGCTGTATAAGGTACCCACCAGACTGCCCAACAAGGTTCAAGCATTTGCAGAGAAGACTCAACAACTAGCCCTGCCTGCTACCACCCTGTGCTTGGCCTCCTGCCTACGACTTTCTCATGGAGCAGTGCTGACCTCTTACTCACCATTACACCCTCTGTCCTGCTTCAACCCTCTATTCTTTTTGTTCTTGTGTGCCCATCTGCCTTGAGCACCTTCCCTGTGTCTAATGTCCACCATCCCTGAGACCAGACTGTGAGTTCTTCCTTCCTCCAGGAGGCTTTCTTAACTGTCACCTACAGGAGGTGACTCCTCCATGAGTCTTTGGTACTTAGGCTTCCACCTCCTGTTTACTGTTTTTCTTTATAATCGTCAGTTCATATGTGCATTATCCATGCAGGTTTCTTTGGCTCTCACTGCATTTTAAAAAATAATCCATCAATAGTATTTCCCATCCAGAGGGCAGACTATGTCTTGTCAGCTTCTGTGTATCTTGCCTTTATATATTCAGAGTGTTTGGCAGTCACTCAATGTTCCATGAATGAATGGTTTTCAGAAAACCAATGTCTTTCCTTAGTAAGTTCACATGGTAGCATATATTCCTCAATGTGGGGATTCCCAATCATAGAATTTTTAAAGCCAAAGAGATGGTTGGTATATCTTTAGTCCAATCGGGAGAATGGAAAGTTTGCACAAAGAGGTGATATGGTTTGCCCATGTTACACATTACCATATGAGTGCTTTCATGGAAGATGAACCCTTTGAAGTGCTCTACCAGCATCAAAACATGAGCAAATACACATGCAGCCCAGGAATCTTTTGTGAAAGGGGGTAGTGTCCTCCCTGAGAGCTTCAGAACACGCAGTGGTACACTGGACACCCAAAGAAGTCCTGTGCTCAGAAACCTGCAGACTGGTTTTAATTCTGTTTCCCCAGGCTAACTTGATCACGAGCACATTTTATAACACATTAACGTAGGATCTTGAGTGGTTCTTTGAAAAAAGTGATTTCTCCTTAGTTCAGTTTCCTACCTTGGATGTGGATTAAGAATCAAGTAAAACTTGACTTTTGAAAGCTCATGACTGTTATGGAACTAGAGGAAAGACCAAAAGAACGCGTCCAGAAAGTGACTACAAATGAGAAAACATTGTGACGCGCTCAGGACGTCAGGGCTTGGGGCCCAGTGCTCCACTCACAGCTCATGAAAGAATTTGGGCACCCACTTGACTACTCTCTGAGCTCTAGCTCCTTATTTATAAAAGAGGGTGATTTGTGCTGACTGTTGAGACTGTGGTGAAGCTGAATGAGTTAACACAACTCAGCGGGGTCCTAGTCCTGGGTCGGTAGATGTTATCTTCTGCCTCTGCTCATTCACACAGAAATCAGCCAGTTAATAAGTCCTCCCAAATGTTAAACAACTCTGAAACAATAAGGACAGCTATGCTTGAAGATGAACCTAAAATAGGTTTTAAATTCTTCTATAAAATGTTATATGTCACTTTAATATGCTACTATTAGCACTTATTAAGCTCAGCTATGCTTTATAACTTTTATTTAAAGATATTTAAAATAACTGGCCTTTTTGCAAGGAATTTCTTGGAGATGCTCTTACATCCAAACTCAAAGGAAAGAAAACCTTGAGGATAAGGATATTAAGGAGCCCCATGATGCATCTTTTATAGGAAGGCTACAGTAACAGGCCCAAAGAGGAGCTCTACTTTTGGAGGGCTGAATCACTGGTAAAATCCAGTCCGGTACTATTCTTACTTGTTAAATGATAATTCATCCTTACTCAAAGAAAATGTAAGGAGGAAGCTGGGCTCGCATGCAAGCTCACATTCCAGTGGCCGTAAAATGCCTGCTGAAGGATGGCAGGGCAGCTGGAGCTTTTCCATCCTCCTTTCCTCTTAGGAAAACTTTTACTGAGGGACACAGCCATGCTGCAGAAGAAAAAGTGTCATGAAAGCCGAGTAGTACCTAAGTTCTTAGGCCAGAGGGCTTAAAGCAAGAACAAAAAGGATCTTAAGCATGCATGCCAGGATGACTTGTGCATGGGACAGGAAGACAATCCCTACGGAGGCAACCTGTACGGGAGAGAAGGCACTTTCCAGACCCCACTGCCCGCTGCCGCCCCGTGCTGCCCTGTCCCTGCTCCTGCCCAGGCCCACCCCTCCCACCCGGGACCACTGGCCCTCACTCGCTGCCACCCACATCTTCTGCCTGCCTGTCTCCTCTGCGCCTCTCAGCCGTCTGGGCTCCAGGCTGCTTCCATTCCTGCCTGGAAAACTCTCCTCCTTCCTAGTTCTTCTTGTCACACCTAAACTCTTGTCACAGTGATCATCTGACATCCCAAGGCAGGGATTTGCTTCATTGTTCTCTGGTTTTTTGTGTGCTTACATTGGAAATCTTTGACAATAGATATGATATCTTCATATGTATTCTTTCTTATGAAGAATCACTTAAAATCTATCGAGCATTCACCAGGCATTTTCAATGTAATGAAAATTAAAGGTTTCATTTAATTTTTACAACTATTGCATAAGGTGAGTACTATTGTTTGATGTGTGTCAGACAATGATTCTACTTAATGAGTAATAATTAGGTACGGGGCCGGGGATTTAGCTCAATGACTTAAGCACTGGCTGGCAAGCGTGAGGTCATGAGTTTGACTCCTAGTACCAAAAAAAAAAAAAAATTAATAATAATAATAATAATAAATAAAAATAGGGGCTGGGGATTTAGCTCAGCAGCATAAGCGCCTGCCTTGCAAGCACGTGGTCCTGAATTCAATCCCTGGTACTGATAAAAAAATAATAATAATAAAATAAAAATAATTAGGTACCTAGGACTGCTCCTTTATTGATTTTAATTTGTGTACTCATCATAACAATTCTATGAGGCTTGATCCTGAAGGAGCTGACCAAGAGAAGACAAAAGAACCATCCCAGGCCATGGATCAGTATTCAGTAGATCAAGGTTCAAACCGAAAGAGTTTGGCTCTGAAGTCTGCACTCCGAAGGCTGAGCATGTAAACCTAAACATTAGTCACTTTGTGCTAGAGAATAAACAAGTTTTAAGAGGCCTAGTGAGTACCATGTATTTAAAACAGCAAATATCTCCTCATCCTTAAGGTTTAAACCAGAAGCCTCCATTTAAAGCACATTTTCACACATATTAAAAATAAAATATTTTCGTGCCCCACTCCTGGTATAAAAAAAATAAGATAAAATAAAATAAAATATTAAAAACATTTTTGAACCCAAATCTAGTTACTATTAAAAGGCCCAAATTAAGACTTACTAATTTACTTATTTGACAAATGTTTATAATGTGTATGTTGTTATCCAGCACTGTGCTACACTCTGCAAATGCAACATTGAACAAGAAAGTTAAAATCTGGATTACCAACAATATAAAGGAATTAACTTTTGTGTATATCTCAATGAAATAAAAATACAAAGAAATTAACTATATATACATATATATATATATATATCAATGAACGTCTTCAAGCATCCACTGTGTCCATGTCAACTTGTCTAAAAATGAACTTAGATGAATTAATAAGTGGGGAAGTAGAAAATACCTTTAACATGAAAGATGAGAAAAAGTTGCTCAAGAGGGACTAAATTACACAGCCTGGACCTAGAAGTTCTGTGTGCTACTGAGTAGCACAGTGACTACAGATAACTTTGCATTTCAAAAAGCTAGAATAAAGTAGAGTGAAAGCTTTCACTGGAAAGAGACGAGAAATGTTGGAGGAAACAGATGTGCGTGACCAGGTTTACACACTGCACGAGGCATAGGGGTATCGAAGCATCACAAGGT